TGTTTAGAGTCGCTAAGTAAAGCGATAACCTACCCCCAGTAATTGGCACCAAGATTTTATAATTAACATCTTTGCTCCAAGGATATGTTTCTAGCTATCAGCCAAGTCCTACTGTTTACATGACAAACCACCTGGTCTCCAAGATGAAGCAGATAAAAGAAACAGACCATCATGATGGCTCCAGCTTGCCTGAAAACTGCCCTAGAATGTTTTTCTGCCCCAGCCTTCTTGATATCTTACCCATAAACAACACACTCCCAGCCAAATGCCTTTTGGTTCCCAGGATGTTTAACAATTAATGTTTGTGTCTTAAGACTTTGTTTTCCAGACTTGGGTCAATCTCCCTGTCACATGATTGATTACCTGAAACTTTGGTCACTGCCGTCCTGAGCAGTTAATCAACAGACAACCCCCTCCCACTGCTATATTTCATAGATACACCTTTTGTAAATCAAACAACTTTCATTCTCGTCTTCTAAGAGAGAAAGCCTCATAAACCCCCAGTTGCTACCTTTTAACACTAGACGTTCCTTTAAACGTCTGGCCCCCTCTCCAGTCTTGGAGAGGTGGATCCACCCTTTTTCTATGATCTACTTTATAAATAATCTTTCCCCAACCTATTCTTTGTGAAAGTCTTTGCATCTTTTTCGTGGCACTGGCTCACCAACCTAACAGGGTGGAGCTGGAGTTTAGAACGGAACCTTCCAACACAAGCCATCTTTGCTAAATAGCATCACTGTCTATAGATTTTATTTAAAAAAATAGAGACACAGTTTGAATTTTTAAAAGTAGCAAATACAACAAGAAGAATTACAAATCAAGAATTTGATTAAGAAATCAGATGGAGTGTCAAAATCAGATGCTTAAAATACCATGAAAACCAAATTTCCTGTCTTCCTTTCCCTTCCCTTTCTCTCTCTCCTTTCCTTCCTCCCCTCCTTCCCATCACATTGACTGAGCTAAGAAGAGAAACTCACCATCTTCACATTTACTCAGTAGTCCTGGCTTAACAGGGGACAAGGAGATGGCAGCAGAAGCTCCAGCTTGGGGCAGAGTGTGATGCACCACAGGGAAGGGAGCCTGGGAAGGGAGGCCAGAAGGGAAGAAGGGGCACCCACCGGTGGGCTCAGAACAGGCTCCCAGGGCCCAAAAGACAACAAAGACAACTCACCCAGAGCCTGACTGGGGTCCTTACCAGTCAGTGGTCTTCTGACCTCTCTCGAACATCTATAGTCTAAGCTCTGGCATCATTAGACAAACATCAGACAATGTCTGCATCAGTCGGTACCAATCAGGACTCCCCTGGTCATAAGAGACAGAGGCCGATGATCTGATGAAGCAAAAAAGGTAGCGGAGTAGTTCATATCACCGAAGTGTCCAGAAAAGAGGCCTGGCTTCAGGTGGCTTGAATGCAGGGGCCTGGAGGACACTCTTTGTGCTTGTTCTTCCCTCAGGTGTGGCTTTGTCCACAGGCAGGCCAGGATATCCCCTTGCCAAGGAAAAATCCATCACTAGCCCAGAGCTCTCATCTGTTCAGCAGCCCAAGTGAAGACACCCTTCTCTCCCCTGGCCTTGGGCCACTCTCCTTGGTCCAGTTTGAATCAGTTTGGATCCCCAACTGATCCTGGTGGCCAGGGAGGGAGTTCATCACAGGCCAGGTCTGAGCTGCGGAAACACTCCCAGAGCCACAGGTGGGGTCAGCACCACCCTCACTGAGAGTGGGGCTGGGGTTGTTTCCCAAAATGAAATCTGTGGGCTAGGACCAGAAGGGGCACTGGGTGCTGGGTGGTCAAAACCAGCCAAAGTTCACTTCAGTACAAAACGCAAGCTTCTATCAGTCGAAAGGAGGACAAATTCATTGTAAAAGAATCAAGAAAAAAAGTGAAAATTCCCCCAGAATCCCACCACATAGATGTAACCAACATATTTGTATTCACATTTTTCTCCTGTTCCTAAGCTGAAATCTCCCTCCACAGCTTTTGTCCGGTGACCCTGACTCAAGGTTATTCCCTGTTAAGTTGGCTGGCTGAATTGATGCCACTCTTTATGCAAAGAATTGCACAAAGAGTAGGTCAGAGAAAGTGTATGTGGCAAGTAGATCGAAGAAAAAGGGTGGATCCACCTCTCCAAAATTGGAGAGGGGGCCAGACATTTAAGGAATGTTTGACAGGGAATGCTTGAGATTGAAAGCATCTAAAGCTTCCCTGTAGTGAGAGCAGGTCGCCATGGTGAAGGGGTGGTGGTCTGTGTCCCGTAGGTCACAACAGACTGATTATGATAGGCCGGGTTTGGCCCTTTCTGAAAGGAAGACAAATACTTTGGAAAAAAGGGTAGTTAGTACAAAGCATGCTTGGGGGGTTGCAATACAATTATCAGTAACTACCTTCAGGAAACTGGCTTTGTTCCTTGCCATTGATTAGAGGGTGGGTTACAATAAGCTGCTGAAAATGTATGACAAAGCTAAGCAATGTTAAAATGGCTGCCACTTCGACTAAAGTTACTCCATTTTGGCTTTCACCCTTTCACATCCTCCAAAAAGCAGAAAGCAGCTCTCTAAGTGTTTGAAGTCAGTGTTCATGTCTCTGCTGAGTCTTCTCTTCAGTCTAGTGTTTTACCTGTGTCTCAGTTGTCTTGGTTTCAAGACCCACCACCATCTTGGTCATGGATTTCACCTTGCCTGGAGCTTGCTCCCACCTGTCCCTTCCTTGTTTTTTTTTTGTTTTTTTTTTGAGTTGGAGTCTCACTCTGTTGCCCAGACCGGAGTGCAGTGACACACTCCTGGCCACCGCAGCCTCGACCTGCTGGGCTCCGGCGATCCTTCCACCTCAGCCTTCCAAGTAGCCGGAATTACAGGCATGCGCTACCACGCCCGGCTATGTCCCTTCCTTCTTGATGTGAACTGCCCAGGTCAGACTTCAATCCCTGACTGGTGTGGACCATACTGTGTTTTCATCATGAGGCTAGGGACACTCGTCCTCTTGGTAGCTCTGACCCCTGCTGGTTCAGAGCAAGCCCAAGGTCCACCCACATTCTCGAAACTCTAAATTCTCACCCCATGGTGCCTTGCTGACCTGTTCCACACCACCAACGCAGCAATTGGAGCCTCAGTGCAGGATGTGATCTCAGTTCTTGCTAAGCTTTTTGGGTGTTCTCTTTGTCTTTGCTTTCATCCTGCCTGAGAAGTCATGTAGGACTCCCTTCTGCTGTTCACATATCAGCTGGGACTCACTGGCATCAGGCATGTGAACCCAGGTTACATCACAGGTGGGAGAAATGGGGTGAGCCCAGGACTGTGGCACAGTTTAGAGAGTTCACCTGGGCTCCTAGGGCAGGACCAGCTACCTGGACTCCAGGATCAGCTCTGGAGCTCAAACATGCTGCTGTCCATGCTGTACTTCCTTGTCTGGGCACTAGGGGAAAGGAACTGACTTCTAGACAGGGTTGGAAGAGGGTAGAATTCAATAGGGTTGGGGAAAGGGAGAGGGTTTCTAGATGTCAGAGTTCCACACAGAACATGTGAGAGAGGGAAAAAGAGACCACTAGAGAGAAGCAATGAACCCGAGGGGAGAGGCAGGGAAGATCCTGGAGCTGCGTGCTGGGGTGAGTGGCTCTGCTGGAGTCAGAGAGGAGCGCACTGTTCCAGGTTTGAGAGCAGAGGCCTGATGGGTTCAGCGCTGCCTCAGAGGAACCCTTGGATGCTGGGTGGGGGTGGGGAGGACAGTGAGGAACTAAGATTCAGACGAGGAAGTGAGGGCCCTGGATCAGGACGGAGCGTGAGAGGGTGGTAACAGGGATGAGAGAAGGTGTCTGGAGATAAACTCAAAGAACTGACAGCTGGCTGTGTGCTGGCTGAATTGGAAAATGTGTGTGTGGATGGGGGGGTAGGGGGTGGAGGAATGGAGGGGTAGGGAGTGGAGCAAGAGAGAAGGGATGACTGACCATGACCCCAGGGCTGAGACTAGAGGTGACTGGAAAATATTCACACCTTGATCAAAATTCGAATGCTCAGAAAGACCATTGGATTTGAAACAAGAGAAATGGTGAAGGCAGAATCAGACGACAGGTAAGCCCATCGGGGTTCTGGAGAGGAGAGGCAGGTGGTGAGAGCAGGTTGGCAGGCTCTGGGGGGAGCTGGAATAGTGGCAAGCATTTGGGCCATTCAGCAGAAAGGAGAATTGAAGCTCTGGAACTGGTGGTGCTCAACAAGGAAGGGCATGGGGGCCGGCGAGGGCCTGGCCGGGGGAATCACGAACTGTGAAGTATTCTGTAAGTGGGAAGGTCTGCCATTAGCAGCAGGAGATGTGCACAAGATGGCAGATGGCAGGGAACCGGTGAGGGACACAGGAGGCAGGAGGAGACCTGAGGTGCTGGGATCATAGCAACCATAGCAAATCAAGGCTGCTGCTGCTTTTTTGCAAGTGATAAGAAACAATTCAAATTGGCTTAATGAAAAAAAGAATATGTTCACTCCCATAACTGCCAAGTTCAGGTGCACTCAGTGGCACAGGAATGTTGGAACTTACTTTCACTCTATTTTGCTTTCCCACTCTGACCCAGGAAGCTCTTTTTTTTTTTTTTCAATGAGTCAGTCAGAGTCTCACTCTGTGTCCAGGCTGTAGTGTAGTGGCATGCTCAGGGCCACTGCAGCCTCACCCTGCTGGGCTCCAGCAATCCTTCCGCCTCAGCCTTCCAAGTAGCTGGAACCGCCACCACGTCTGACTAATTTTTTGATTTATTGTAGAGATGAGTTCTCACCAAGTTGCCCAGGCTTGTTTCCAACCCATGGGCTCAGGCAATCCTCTCACCTTGGCCTCCCAAAGTGCTGGGATTATAGGCGTGAGCCACCATACCCAGCCTGGAAGCTCCTCTTTTTGCTGACAACATAGCTGTTGGGAGTTTCATGCTGCCTTCTCCAGCACAATTTTCCTCCAAATGGTTGTGGGAGAGGCCTCCCCCCCATGTGCCCTCTCCCAGGCATTCAGCACAACGGTGACACTCACCTCTGGAACTGCAGGTCGGAGGATAACATCACCACACGGCTGGAGGGAAGGAGAGGGCCTCTCCTGAGAGGGGTGCTGTTCCCAGAAGGCAGGATGGAGCCACAAAGACAAGGACGGCAGACGCTGCAGGAGCCAAGAGCTCAGTCTCAGGGAGGGCAGCGGGCAACACGGACAACTCATCCGAGAGGCCGAGGGAGGGAGATGAGACGTGGATGGGTACAGATAGGACGAGGCGACTGAGTCATTTGTTTCTTCAGGACCATAAATATGGGAGGAAAACAGACTTCAGTGGGAAAAGGGATGAGCAGGAGTGGAGGCACTGCAAAGGAAGGGGTTTGCCATGCTAGAGATGTCTATCAGCAAAAGGAAGCAGAGAGACATGCTCCCAGTCCTGTCCCGCAAGGAGTGAGCAAGGCGCTGTGTGGGAGAACTGTGAGTGCTGAGGTGAGGAGTCCCAGTGTGTGTTTTCAGGAAGCACCAAGCTTAGAGAGGAAGAGATCGCTGTGGACAAATGGACGATGAGGAGAAGGAACACCTGGCAACTCCAAGGTTCCAGAGCAGGAAGGTCCAACAGCGAGGAGTCAGTGTTATCCCAGGAGAGCGAATGATGGGGTCAACCCAAGGGCATCAGGGAAGGCCCCTCAGGGTGATGCAGCCTCAGCTAGGTTTTGTGGAATGAATGAGAGTTCAACTGAGGAAGCCAAACCGGGAAAGGAGCACCCGCAAAAGCAGACACGCCCCAGGAGATTGGCAGGTGCAACGGCTGGGTGGGGAGCATGGCAGGAGAGTGGGTGGCTGAGGCCCGGGCCTGCTGGGGAGGGCAGGCAGGGCAGGGGAGGTCTTCAGGCCAGGGCAAGGGAGTCTTGGATGCGTGGG